GCTGCTGGTGTGCATGGTGTGTGGGGAGCTGCAGTACTCCCACACCCTGGAGGGAGTGAGTGCCCACATCGACGAGGCCCACCCGGACACCCTGACCCTGGAACCTGGGGAGAGGCAGAGAATCCTGGAGGCCTGGGATGAGCAGGTGTCCCAGAGGGAGCGCTTCTTCACCAGCCAGCTCCAGCAGCACAGCGGGTCCCTGGCAGGTACATTATGACCTCAGAGTGAACACGAGGTGGCTGTTCAGGTATCGTTTATATTAGAAAAAGAAATAAGAAATAATCCTCTTCTGAAATTGAAAGATGTTTTCATAAAGGATGGGTACATTGTTGTTTGTGGTGTTATTGCTGGTGAAACCAGTAGGTCATGGTGGCTAATAGTTAAAGGTCCATATAGTCTAAAGGTCTCTGTCCATGTGTAGTTTGATTATAGATCAGGTCTAGGTTCTATATTAATACTGTGAAAGTATCAAAGCCTCAGTCCACAGAGAAATGCACACAGCCTGTATTCAGAAACTGAGCCTTAAAACCAGCCGTCAGGACTTCTGGAACTTTGTGATGTCACAACAAAGCAGCCACTGCCCCAAGCCCTGCCTACCCAACCCCATTATCCAACCTTGAAGGATTTAGTTTCTCTGAGTGTTTTCCTGAAATCTGCTATATTTTTATTGGATCACTGATTGGCTCACTGACCTGTTGTTACTAGAGCTCCAGAGAGAAGCCTGAGAGAGGAGATGTAAAACTACACTGAGATGGTTTTGGTTCTTAAAACCACCAATATATCTTCTTATGGATCAACACTTCAAATAAAACACAGGAGAAGAAGAAAATATGGAGCTTAAAACCCTACGAATAAGAGCTTTTGAACCGAAGGAAAGAATGATCATTCCCTCTCAGCCTGCCTCACTCTGAGAGGCCTGATGAGTATTTTATGAGCAAAAGACAGATATTAGAATAAAAATCCTGTTATCCTGTGTCAACTATATAGGAGCATCATCACAATGTTTGCTCCATGCATTTGTTTCATTTACCAAACGTGTCTGACTTGTTTTGCAGAAGCACACAGGAACTGATCAGCGGAGAACACGACTGCAGGAGTCGCCTGAAGACCATGGACCAGGAGAAAAAACCCACACTTTTTATTTATTCTACTTTATTTTTAATCCCGTGTTTTTACCTTCATAGAAAGTCACCTGGACAGAGAACGCTGCAGCTTTACCTCATTTCCTACCAGGACTGTAATGTGGGTTCTTGAAAGTCAGTAAGGACATTTTTTTTATACTAAAGCTGCCACAAATGAGATTCTGTGACACTATTTAAAATATTTAGACCAACATTCTGGGAAACACAGTCTCTGTGCTAAGCTAGGCTAAATTCATCCTGGACCTATCTCTGTAATGGACACACAGATATCTTCGATTCTTGTTCTGCTTGCTAAATTCTTATTATCATAAATCTTATTATTCCTTTGAATTTTAAACCTCAACAACTATAAACATCCAGTGTTTCCCTCAGACTTGAATCTGATAGAAAAACTATGAAACAGCATTTTGGCCAAAACCCCTTCATTTAAACTGACAGTGGCCACTGAGGCCAGAATAATAGACATTTCCCTTCATTTTTCAAGACTCTTTCAAGACATCATTTAGTGACAGAGCGAGTAGACTTGATGCACAAGCAGGAGAGAGCACAGTCCTGCTGAGGTGCGCTGTGATTTTACTTTGATAAAACCATTGAAAAGTTTATTGGCGACATGCTAAAACTTAGCCCTGTTTGTGACCTCGGCACTCTGGTCAAACCCTCTGAGAAAAATAAAGTACATTATTTTTTTTACAGTGGGTTGCATCGACAAGTTTATTTTGGGTAAATTTGTTTTTAAAAACTCCAATATTTCAGATCTTTTTACGATGCCGATTACATTAAAATCATCCAGGGCGATCATTTTATTGTTCTGGGAACTCAGCAGAGCAGACGTCTGCGAGATCATGAAAATACCCTTGAAAACACAACCAGTGCTGGAGAACAGGTGAAAAGGGTTAGGGTTTTTCCCCTTTGGGTTTGCATACATCATGCGATTAATTCACCGTCTACGTCCACATTAACACGTTTTAGTTTTAAAACGCATCACTTAGGCTACGTTTGCTTCGTCCACACTACTCCGGAGTTTTTGAGCCCCTAAAATGGAGACTTTTGGAAACACGGAGTGGCGTTTTAGTCTAGACGGGCAGAAACTGAGACTTTCTTAAACAACGATGCAGATACTAGCGTTCACTTCATGATTGGGTCTTATCAGTTATGACATATCTTTCCCTGATTCGTCACGGTCCTATCACTATCACGTGACCCTTTTCCATGACTACCATGACCACCGTGTTCTTACTCTTTGCCGTTGCTGTTCTTCATTCATAGTATTTTCTGCATCAAAGCAACCAGCTGCAGGGTAGACAATCTGCTTCAGTGTACGTAAAAGGTCATGTGATGTGTGTTTTCAGGTGTGTCACAGTTGTTAAATTGCAGTGTAGCAGGGAGTCATAAAGTCAGCACACTGAGTGAATAATGTCCGTCAGCTACACGGCAGCATCTACCTAAAGTTTGCTAACATCGCTAACAGTAGCCACCACAAGCTACTGGTCATACCAGACCACGTAAGGCTGTAGCAGTGAAACCCCCGAGTTTACTGATTCAAGCAAAGGTTTGTTTTATTGTTTATGACTTCATCTTTTTATTTGTAAGAGGAAGATGGTGTTTTTTTTTCTTCAGAGTTTGGGGTTAGCGCCCTCTACAGCCAGAGAGACCCAACTACCTGTTCAGTGATGAGCAAACTAGATGATATAAAACATTGTTCAACAGAGAAATAACTTGGATGAAAAGAAATAAAAACACAGTGTCAGGTTTTGAAGGATGTGTTTCAGTCAGAATCATATCAGACCTCTTTACAATAAATTATACAGTTAATTCAGATTTAACCCCCAGTGTCATCAGCTATGAGAGCGACAGCACAAGAATCAAACTCTTTATACTGAGGCATATTTGTAAGAGCTGAGAGCTGCTGTCAGTTTTGTATAAAGTTTGTCCTGGTCTGGATTCAGACTTGCATTCAGGTCTGAGACTGTTCCAGACCCTTGTTAGATACGTGGGCATCTGAAACTGGTCCACGTTTTTCTATGTGATACTGTCCTGCGCTGTTCAAACCCTGAGCTTTACATACGTGTTCCTTTTGGACGACTTTTTGTATTGACAACTTTTTACAGAAACTTTCTCACCTGTGTAAAAACCTCCTGCGGTTCATATCAGCCTGTAAAGTCTTCTCACTGTAAATACACAAAATACTAAAGTGGTTATGAGATGCCAAAATTTTCTTTGACTGTTTTTGATCAACTTTATTTATTATTTATTGAACCTCCTCTTGTATAACTGATGCATTACTCATATCCATAGGTAGTTCGATGTTAGAGAAGTGTCTCGTTTGTGAGTATTGAGGATCCAGAGGTTTTCCTGCATGATTAGTAAATGGATGAACAGTTGTATATCACAGATGAGCTCTGGATGCATCCCCATGACTTTCTTTTTGTATAATTGTTCTTAAGAGTAAAACTTATTTTCTGTTTGAGCACAGAGCTGTGGAGGTCAAACTGCCTGCGCAGTCACAACACTGTAAATAGCTGGAAGTGACCAAGCTAATTTACCTTCTGAGAATGTAACTCTGACTTGTTTACCAGTTCAAAGGGAATGTTCAAATGCCTTTTAAGTAATAAACCTTTTCTACCTTTGGGCTTCTTCTTTCACATCTTTATTATCTCATCAGCTTCCTGTCTGCTCTGTGTCAGTGTCAGATGAACCTGTGCAGAGGTATGAAAATTAAAAGTGGTGGTCATTACAGATATTGACTTTTACTGGTAACAGGATTTTCTGTTTTAAGTAAAAACCATTTCAGTGTAAAAACAGGTTATTTCACTGAGTCTTGTTAAATCAACACAACTCTTCAAACTCAATTAATCTTCATAAAACTTAAAAGGAAGCTGAATGTTGAGTGGATACACAATGAACTAAGACCAGACTGGTTTATTTTTGCTAATTTAAATGACCCTCCTAATATTTATTCTTGTAACATTACAACTTTATTCTCATCATATTATATTTTTTGTAAAATTACAACTTTACTCTCATATTATTACCTTTTTCTTGAAACAATATGATTTTATTCTCAAAACAGAGCATATTGCAGATCGTTGGTTGAAATAGAACATAGGAGTGGGCCCAGGCAGCTACTTTGTGGTACTCCCCAGCATCCATCTTTGTTTTCTGAAAGGCCTCCATTAAAATACACCCATGACCAACATATTCATACTCGGGATGGGTACGAGTACTGCAGTACTCGAGTACTCGAGTAGCGTTTCACTACTTGCACACCTGCGTACGTATTGTTTTTGGCTACATTAGTTCAACTCAGTTAGCGTTATGTGCACCATGGCAACCGTGACTAGGAAAGGTCATGTCGGGAAATACTTTGATTAAAAGATACTACACTGACGTGCAGTTCAAGATATGTAGCGTTAAACTTGCATATTATGTCAATCGCACAAAAACACACTAACCCAATGTAAAAAAAAAAAAAAAAAAAAAAATAGAAAATCAGATTCTTCCTCAGGCTGCCCCTCCTGGGTCTGGGTCTCTGGTTCAGGCCTGCGGCTGTGGCTGTGGCCCGACTCTACATCAGGCGGCCCCTGAAGCTCCCGGGGCAAGTAATCGAGTACTCCTTCATAAGGAAATGAGAGTACTTGAATATTGATATTACTGAAAATGCCCATCCCTAATTCATACATTCTGTCATTGTGTTACTTATGGATGGAATTTTATTTCCCTTTTTGCTGGGGACCCTCAGGAACCCACTCAAGGACCCCTGGGGGTCCCCGGACTCCTCTTTGAGAACCACTGCCTTCGCTCATTTAAACTGTAGACCCAATGTACAACCTCTGACACAGCAAAATGAGAAAGCACAGCTTAGTTTTCATGTCATTTATTTGACTCCTGAACTTTATCAACATTAGTAAGAGTCCTCAGGTTCAGCTGAGTCGGTGTGTTGCCTAGTTCAATTAACCTCAGACTAGTTAACCCAACTAACTAGCCTGGACATTTACCTCTAAGACAGTATGTCATGATTTCTTTGTCAGTCTTTAACCACAGTCTGAATGTTCACTACTTCATCCTCTGGCTCCTCCTCAGCTCCTCCTCCTCAGATTCTTCCTCAGGCGGCCCCTCCTGGGTCTGGGTCTCTGGTTCAGGCCTGCGGGTGTGGCCCGACTCTACATCAGCCGGCCCCTGCAGCTCCCGGGGCCCAGTGTCCAGACGAAACACAGTGGGGACCTGACCCAGGACGGGGTTGTTCTGCTGGAGGCCGGAGATCCACTGGTTAAGGGTGGCCTGGTCTCCCTGACTGGTCATACACATGGCAAAGACCGGACCCTCGTCCACTGGACACAGGAGACACACAACAGCTGCGTCACACACTGAACATGATGATTTCTGTTACACAAGAGCAAGAAAAGGAAGGCTGTTAACATCTTACAGTCTTCTACATCGAAGCTCTCATCGTCTCCAAGGTCACGGTCCAGATCCAGGTCCAGCTGCAGAGGATAGTCAAGACATCTCTCTGGATCATAGGGCTCCTCAACCTGCGTGGAGACACACATACAGCTCAGTAAGAGACAAATGTGATGCAGAGAGATTTCAGTGCAACTATGAACATGGTCATAAACGAAAGAATTAAAATGTAAAGCTTCTGTTGAGCTTTGCAAAGATCAGATCACAGATCCTGGAACAGTTCTCTGACTGGTTTCTGTTCTTTCTGTTAAATTCTCCAGTTATCAAGACACTGTAGCTAATAATGTTAATTCAGTAAGATGGACAAACAACATTGTCTGTACTGTCTGGATGAAGGAACATCATTCTGTATCAAGTTGATGTCTGTAAAGATTCTGTAGTGAGCAGCCCTGATCCAGGACGTCCTGGATTCATCCTGTAACTTCAGTCCCTTTTACCCTGTACAAAAAACCTGCTCACATCCGGCTTTTGACTTCAGTGTGAAAGGGTCCAATCAGCATTCAGGCCCAGGTCACATGACTCTGCAGTAGTTCTGGGTATGTATCAGCTCTACTGATGTAAACAAAGGTTTTTTTCCTTCTCCGAGCTGTGACGTTTTTCAGAGCACAAACACTGTGAACACACCTGTCACCTGACCGACATGGTTTAACCAGGAACACCTTCCTCTGAGAGTGAGCTGCACACAATCGCACAAAACACACTAACCCTAACCCACACAGAGGGGTTATACCTGCTGCATTTCTTCTAGCGTTGTAATCTTACGCAAAATTCACATTTCGGTTTTTAGTTCAGGGTCGGTATGTTTTTGATACAGTAAGGAAACAAGGCATCACAAACATGACATTTCTTTTAACTTATAATGAATTTAACTTGTAAACATAAAGGTGTAATTGTAAACATGTAACCCAGAGACAAACTGCCCATAATTTCAAATTGGATGACTTTCTTGAACACAACAAATGCACATAAAGGCACATTTCTTTAAAAAAAAACACAAAAAAAAAATACACACACACCTATGTCATCTAGCTATTATTGATGTTGCTGCAATCCACTAACCAGACTTAAAGTGCTTCAGAAGGTTATCAAATAAATAAGAAATAAACAATATAATAAAGTAAAGATACGTTAAAGTGCGGCATGTAGAAAATGATTGATACATTTTTAGCAGAGAGAATGATGTATCCACATCGTCTTTATTCTGATAGCCACAGTGAGAGAGAGACAGGAAATTCAGGGACAGAGAGAAAAAGAGAAAGAGAGAGAGGGATAGAGAGAGAGAGGGAATGACATGGAGCCGCTGTGGTCAGGACTAAGCCTTTATGGTACACACTCTACCAGGCAAGTGACCGGGGCGCAGTATGAGGAAACATGTGTTCACTGTATCTGTCTGACTTTATTCACCAACGTGTCGTAGACTGACCATCAGAACACGAAACGTTCTGCATGTAACCTGCACGGTCAAACCTGAATTATATTCATTTGTATCACAACACGAACCGAACTGGACATCCTGTACCGCACGGCACGAATACGTGAACCATTACACCTCTGATTTCTTCTGATTAAAATATAAGAAATCATGAGTTTTAATGATTTCAATCGCTGCCAACCAGCAGGTTCATTCCTGTTGTGTTGGTTTATTATGACATCCAGACTGTCAGGGTCAGACAGAAGCAGGATGTCGATGTTGTTACAGTACCTTATTTGATCTATTTAAAATCAGTGACTGATTTAACACTGATTTCACATTGAGATCAACAATATCTCTTAACTGTAATGAACCTTAAAAAATGGTTAATAACAGGGTTCTCCCACCTTCTCCTCGGGCGGTGTGGGGTCGGCTCTGAGGACGTAGTAGTACACACACGTCCTCCTCAGCCACAGAGGGAAGGGGCCCTCCACAAACACCGGCCTGCTCGGGTTGTGCTTGGCCAGCAGCTCCATCTGGTCGGGGCTCTGGATCCCTGGTGTCAGCGCAGGGAGGAGAGGAGACACAGACACTGAGATTTTAGTCTGGGAAATGATCCCTCCAGTGCACTGATACTAAAATAATAACATTTTTAACTATAGCTTTCAGGGTTAAGATGGAGAAAATGCAGCTTCCTGCTTTGTTACTGTTGGTTCTCTGGTTTAAAATCATCCACTACTGTTATGTTGTAAAGCACATGAATCTTTTCCATACCTACTATATGTGGAAGTTTTATCTCTTGGCCGCTCTCTGTGACATCTGTGCAGGGCAGCTGGTGGGAGGAGAGGATGAAGAGATTGATTGATAAAAGCTGACACATCCTCATCTTCATGTCCACAACACAGCACAACAGTTCCTCAAAGGTTCTGCTCCACACTGTGTGAGAAACTTTGGTGTGAAAGTTTGTCATAATTGCTATGTGAAGTGTTGAGTTATGGCTAAAAAGTGTTTTGTGAGATCAGCGTGACCTTTGACCTTTGACCACCAAAATCTAATCAGTTCATCCTTGAGTCCGAGTGAATGTTTGTGCCAAATTTGAAGAAGTTCCGTCAAGGCGTTACTGAGATATTGTGTCGAAGATGGACAGACAAAACCGAAAACAATGAGTTTTTATGCCTCCACGCCAGCGACACCGGAGGCATAAAAACTCATTCAAAACCACATTGACTTTTGTCTTAATTTGACCTAATAACTCACATGACGAAAATTACAGCTCTGGAACCTGGGCAGTTCTTTTCTCAGCCTTTGTAGTTTGACTAAACAACAACAACAAAACAAAAAAAACAAAAGAAAATACAGCTACAAGTTCAATCAGCGAGGATTAAAGCCTCAAGCAGCACAGAGTGGTGAGATGTCTCCTGTGAGTTTAATCAATAGATTCAAACCAGACCAAACAGATTGTGTTTGTTTATTCTTGTAACTGAGGAGATCTGATCATGTTTTAAGACAAATTCATGCGTCAATGCAGATAAAGGTGGAGTCACATTGTCTTGCCTCTCTACGTGTATTTTTGAACTCTGGACAGAACCATGCTAATTGTTTCCCCGTTTTCAGTCTTTAAGCTAAGCTAGGCTAACCACATCCTGACCGCAACTTCATATTTCACACACAAACAATCCAAGTCCAACACAAAGCCTACAGCTGTACCTGGTAGATGGTGACTTTTGCGTCCAGGTCGTTAGCGATGCGGTTGAGGCTGAAGCGAGCCAGGTCCACCGGGTCCTCCGGCAGCTGCTGGGGGACCGGGAAGGGGTTTATGTGCTTGAACTTGGGGAACCAGTACATGATGCGCTGGTACTTCCTCATGGGGTGGCTCTTCTCTCCAAAGATCTGGACCAGCAGGACTTTGGTCGTCACGTTGGGCATGATACCTGAAAGATGATCATTTAAAATGAAGACAGACAGACAGACAGATCTAGAAAGGATGGATCCAGATCCCTGCCTCTCCCGGTCCGGAGTGACCCTCTCTAACAGACACCCACCGTAGTTCTCCATCTGCTCCAGTAGCTGCACTCCACACTCCTGCTGTCGGGGATAGTGGTTGAACATTCGCTGGATGAAGTTTCTGGGCACAAACACTTCTTTGGGGAAAACGTCCAGAAGCTTGTTGTAGACGGCGAGGTCTCTCTCCACGCCGAACTCCGGCATCTTCTTCAGAGCAGCGTAGATAAACTCCACGTGACCCCGCCGTCTGATGTCTCTCTTGGTGAAGACATCCACCACCTTATTGAACGTGGCTTTGGTTTTGGCCTCCTGGGCCACCCGCTCAAACAGGTCATCGTGGGTGATCAGAGACTTGTCCCTCTTCTTGTTGTTCTCATGATCAAACTCTGCAGGTATGTGCTCACTCTTGGCACAAGCTGGGCTGGTGTGGAAAAGCCTCAACACCTGCAGGTGAATTATACGTGCATGAAACAGTAATACCCAACACAACATACATGATATGTCTACTTTTGTAATTTCAAGCTGGTCACTGTATGTTTTTAACAAACGTTTAGAGGTAAGAGGTGCATTTGTTGGGGACTATTTTCAGTGGTGGATTAATCCACATATAGTCATCTAATGGGTACCTGGGCAGCAGGAGGGTGTATGTGGGATTGAGTTATAATAAAAAAACAATGTTTTTTGGCACAGAGGGATAAGATGTATCAGCCTATGGATGGATGGATGGACAGACAGACAGACAGACACACACTCACACACACACAATACTTGAGAGTAGGATACATTCATTGTTGGTGTGGCTCTGCACATGTGAGTTTCTTGGCTTGGATTCGTTTAGTAAATCCTGCTTAGTGGACTTAATGTGTCCTGATCCTGAAGACTAGACTCCCATGATTCAGAAAAGCTACCAGTCACTCTTATGAGATGTGCTGCCTTTGCTAATAATGCTAGCATCACTACGTGACCAATATTTTGAGCAGAGTCACCATGTAAACCTGTATGTTGTGCCTCCATTCAGCAACCTGCCAGCCTCTTATTCAGCTCCATATTATTGCTATGTTTACCTCATGCTAATAATGCTAGCTTCACTAAATGAACAATATTTTGAGCAGAGTCTGGTTTACTATGTTTACCTGGTGCTGGGCGTTATGCAGCACGCTGGGCTGACTGGAGGAGGCTGTCTGAAGCAGAGCACCACACCGGGCAGCAGACCGGGCTGAATGGCCCACCAGGCTGACACACTGCAGCTGGAGCAGGCAGCGGGAACACTTCATGGCCGAACCATCACACTGACCTTCAGCGAACAGAACAGCGCAGTGTTCAGACATAGTGAATTACAATCTTAAACCTGACAATTGTAGAAAGTATATTTTACTTTAAGTGTCAACACCCGGCACGATTGAGTCTGTCGTAGAAGATGACTGTACACTGTGATGATGACTGAAGAACAATTTAATGGTGTTTAACTTATTGAATTTGTGCAACCGGAACTGAAGAGTGGCTCTGGTTTGTTCATAAACCTTCTTCATTCAGCCTCTACCACCAAGAAATATTTACCACAAGATACGGAAACATTAAACGGCTACATTTGTGTATGAAGTTTCGCATATGTCATATAAGAGGGGCTGTATTAAGACAAAGTGTCAAACAAATTATTATTAAGAACTGTTATTGTGTAACACATGACATATGAACAGCATGTAATGTACTAACATAGCTATACAATCTTTTGATCAGTACCCACCATTTAAGACGACGAGGGTCGGAGAAACTAGTCTCCTTCACAGTTCACTCTCTGTGGACGCTTCCATGTTGAAAAACCGTGTCAGAACCGAACATCCTGGTCCTGCACACATTCTCTTCCCCCAAACAACAGAAACATGAGCGCAAACTTGTTCCTCAAACCGCTGTTCTGTACATTTTGTTGAATTCTTTTCTACATTCATCTAAAATTGATAAAAACATATTTTTGAAATAGATAGTAAGTGCCATGAAGTTACCTCGTGTTGTGGATGCCAAAACATTTTTAAATAGATGGATTTAAACTAAATTGTGAGGAGTGGAAGATAAATAAAACACTTAATTCAACTCAAAAAAAAAAGAAAAAAAAAAGAATGAGGGAAATCTAATTTATTTAACTTGTAAGTCTACAGTAATTCAGTAAGACTACTAAACAGTTTTATACCTTTTTCAGATTTTCTTTATACCTTTCTCTTTTCAAAACGCTGGTTTTGTCCTAAATTGTGTAATACTGTTTGGAGGCTTTATAATGATACCAACAGTCAAGTGCCTGGTAAGACTCCCTTTTACCAGTTATAAATAATAGTAACTCGTTAATAAATGGTGATGTGTTTTACACTTTACAATAAGACTCCTTTTATAAATGTTTGTAACTGATAAATAAATGGTTGTAAAAAATGAGATGAAGAAACATGAAGATGGATGGATGGAGAATCACAGAGATGTGAACAGTGGGACAAAGAATGGGTGAGCAGTTCACCAAGAAAAGGAAGGTTACCACCTGTGTTCTACCTGAAATGCTAAAGTCCTTAAGAAGAGAGCAACCAGCAAAAAGCATCTCCATGTTATGTATGCATGTATGTATATGTTATAATAATAATAATAATAACAACAACAACAACAACAACAATACTACTACTACTACTACTACTAATAATAATATTATTATTATTATTATTATTATTACTGAGAAAGACCCAACATTTCATCTGAGCGCGTGCAGTACACGACCCTGCCGCGTGATGGTGACAGAGGCCTTCTGAACAAACTCACTCATGGTGTGAATGTGACAGCCGCTGGGATGGAGCCTGAAAACGTTGCAGAGAAACTTTCCTCTGGTTCACTACATGTAGATACTGAGTTACAGTGAGCGGACACAGTATCTGTCGGAGAGAGCTCACAGACTCCTGACGTTCATAATATATCTCTGCATGGTGTTTTCCCGCGAATAGTATCAAGCTAGGCACAATGAGGTATCTGACTTCCGGACGACACTCAACTAGCGTGTTTGTTTTTTTATTCCGTTATATTATCAAACTTTATTCTCGTAATTATATTAATTCCACTTTGTATTTTGGTTTGCACGTGATTGAGGAATGTGTTTTTAATGTTTTTCATTGTTTAATAAACAACAGCACTTTATTTACAGGAAATCTGTCCACGTTTCCGGTATTTATGTCGTTAAAACTGGCAGTTTGACAGTTGGAGTTCCCAGTGTGTGACTTGTGACACTCCTCTCAGCATGGAAAACACACCTCAACTCAGACTTCACATCTAGACTAACTTCACACAACTTAAACTGCGGATTATGAATTCTTCTACAAACAGCCTGGGTGAGTAAAGAGACAGAAAACGCCTTTTGCGTACGTCTTTGTGATTTTTCTTTCTGAGCATGATGGAAACTTGTTGACTGTTCGGATGTGCAGGGAAAACTTTGCCAAACTACGTTCAATAATTGTCAGTAATTGTCCAACTGCTGTTCGGCAAACGTGTCAGTGCGTGAGACAACACCACACACATCGTTTTACAAAAATGTGATAAGTTCCTGCTCGTTCGTCTGTAGCATCTGTAATAAAGCCATGAAGCAGCTTTTAATTTATTAAATAAAGTTGTTCCAATTGTTCCGCGATGTTTGCTGCCGCATTCCGTGGTGTATTCTGGAGGAGGCGGAGGAGGACTGTGGGGATAACAGGCGGGCTCCTCCGAGATGTTGACAGTGTTACTGTGGTGGTCTACTCCGAATTAAAGAATGACTCTTGATCAGTTTGTGTTACGGTTTATTCACATGTACAGTCTGGCAACGCCCTGTAAAAGTCTTATTGTTCAAACAGTGATGGAGGGCTCGTTGCAAGCTGTGTTGCAAACTGACAGCGGCTCTTGTGTAAAGTGTGTAGGTGTAGAACTTGTTGCATATCCTGAAAGTGTTGGTAAACAGCTGCTGTGGGTAAAAACTCTGCTGCTAACTAGTTACTGTTAGCACGCTGTGGTTTAGCTTTGTATTCAAACAGCTGTCTTTATGTTGGCACGAGCGGGCAGGACTGTGGCGGGAGTGTCTCTTCATTTGTCACGTTCGCTTTTGTTAAAATGAACATGTTTGTTAATGGAGTTTTGAATTGCTACCAGATGCACCATGCCTTTATGTTTTGAGGAGACAACCAGCAGAGCTCTCAAAAGATTAAGTTAAATTCTGTCAAGTTCAAAAACACAATATAAAATAATATTTTGATTGATTGATTGATTGACATTATTGTCCACCACCTCCTACAATAAAAATACATACAATCCACATGACAATAACACCATTTTTTAAGTTTATTTATTTATTTGATAGGGACAATGCAATTTAACATACAGTAGTCTCAAAACAGGGCTTGAAACTGATGTGTTGCATAGAGTTTATAGCTGTTGCTACTTCTCCACTCCTGTCCCTACTTGAGCTTTTACATGTATAATGTAATTAAAACAGTCAATAGCAAAAACAATGAAACACAGATAACACAATTGATAATATCCTACCATTAGCAGGTACAGACTAAAGAGAAACAACAACAAGAAGACAAATAGTCAAACAAAACAATTAACAATAGATACAGTTGCATAGAAATTAGTACAGCTCTGGTTACTAATCTAATCTAAATGAACTCTAATCTAATCTAAACTTTAAAAAAAACAAAAAAATCAAAAGGTACAACATACAATCATGCAAATGAGCAGGTAGCAGCAGATAGGTTAAATAAATACCAGAGAGCAAATCTTATGAAATAACAAGTAACAAGTGTTCCCTGGTGCAGTCATGTTGTGTTCAGTGCCTGTATAACATAGGGAATAAAAGACTTCTTATATATGTTGTAATTTTATCTTTTAATAGACAGGCAGTTGACTCTTATATTTAACAGAAAACTGAGTTTTCAAACTGACTTCCTACAGAGCTCCACCTGCTCTGCCCCCACAATGCTGACTGTCTAACAGCAGTTATTACACTGTTGCACAATGCTGCTTTTGTTGCACATCTGTAGGACCCGCTGTCCCTCCTTATGTGCTGATGTTGTGTTTACTTGTCTTGTAAAATGGTGGGGCGGCGAGGCACTGGGGAACAGTAAATATCACATGGGGACACTTGCCAGCATCTGTGGGCAGAGGTTGCTGTGGCTCGGTGGAGAACACAGTGTAGAGGCTGCTGCTTGTCTAAGTGAAGGTCTATGTCTTTAATAGTAATCATCCTCTCCTAATGCTTCATAATGAAGGTGATTTAATTACTGTGAAAATGTCTTATCTGTTAAACTGCAGCCTTGTTGCACTGCTCCTGCGTGAGTCTCGCTGTCAAATGACTGTCTTGCACCATATCATGATCATATCATGATGGTACGTGATACACAAACACCAATATCTCCACCCATATCGGCCAAAATATGATGCACAGTTTAGTTGTGAGTCTTTGTACAAAATGCAGGTCAGGCAGTTGCACATATCTCGAGGCAAGGACATGCTTTGTAAGTGAAGCAGTTAGGTTCTGGGTGATGTGGCTAAAATCAATATGATAATACTAATGAGAATGTTATTTCAATAGCAATATATGAAATATCACAATGTGGTAAATGTATGGCAAATTATATATAAAATAGTTAAATTGTTGTGTATTCTAGTAGACTGTGTTCCATTTATAAATATAAACTAATAAACCTTTTTAAAACTACAGTTTGAATCAGTGATCTGGACGACAGCAGAATTATGGTGAACAATAACAGAACATCATCCTACATCTCAATATGTTTGCCCAAAAGTCTATATATGATAATAGTGAACTAACACTCTTTCCTTCATATACTTACAAGCATACACAAATACACAACTCCTTTGTTTAACAGCCTGGTTCCCTGTAATTATTGCAAACAAACAGGAAACTCAAACGCATCACTTCCTGTGAACCAGAGAGATTTTTCCCAGAAAAGAACCATAGATACCAGACACTGAAGCTGTGTCCCAGCTTCATGCTAATATTTATACTGTACATGACACGAGAGTAGTGCATTCACACCCACATCATCTGAAAACATGACGCGTTTTTTTAAGATGCCAGCAGAAGGAAATCTATTGCTTTAAAAAATGTGACGTTGATGGACACTTGTTGTGCAGTGCAAACCAGAAATGGAGCTCACAGGCAGAGCAGGGGTGTCTCTCTCTATCTTCAAGAATCTGTTGAAGACTGCACCTCATCTCCTAAAACCCTAACATGTCTAACTAGCTTGTACTATGAACTTTACCTGCACTTCTCTACCTGATCTCCTTCACTTATTCAATAAGTGTAGCACTTAGTACTTACACCGAGGTCTCCTACTGCACTAAAGGTTTACTGATGTCCCTCACTGTAAGTCTCTTTGATAAATGTGTCTGACAGATGAGTAAATGTAAATATCATATTGCATGAAATTATGCAGTACACCATGTGTACTAAATGTCAGTTATGCCGCATCTTCCACTGTGACTTTTCTTCATTCACCACCATCTGCAATTTGTCAGAATGTTTTGCAGCTGTGAGGAGCTTCTTTATTTCCTTTGTGCATTGCATTGTGGGACAACAGTGTCCATCAATTGTCTAAAATAACACTGCAACAGGAAATCAACTTACTGTACATCATATACAGCGTTACCTCTGTAAATAACTTATTATTAATTCAGTATTTATTCCAGCATTCTTTGCACAACAACCTCTAACAACATGACCTGTGTTCAGTTTGTTCATCTCTTGCCTGTAAATAATATCGATATGTGTAATTTTGCTTGTATCTGTAACTGGACTTATCCTTTAATGTTTTCTGGTTACTGTGTAAAATTAGCACAGTGTGGATTTGGGACACAGTGCAGCTTGTGCAGAGATCAGCAGGAAGTTGCATCAGCAGATGGCAGCTATTTCAGTGTTTTTCCCAGAATGTTGTAATACTGCTTCTTTTCTGAGGAGCCTGAGATGCTGTTTTTCTACAGTCACTTTCTGTCAGCCCGTCTCTCAGGGCTGAATATTCACTATTAAAAACTCTCAGGCAGTAAAAGCTCCAGCTCAAACCTGTGGTCAGATTTGCAGTTTTGTTTTCTCCAGATGGTTCCTTATTGAAATATAAGATTTCAATTTTAGAGTGTTCTACTTATTTTGGAGTTTTATTTAGTCAAATTCTTGTGCAGCATTTACATTCAATATTTGAGAACTTGGAATAAAACTGTCAAAGAATTAGAAATACCTCTCCACTGCCACTAGACATAAATCTGAGGGAACAAAAAATACTCATTGTGCAGCTCAGTCCCCAAAGATAAATGAGCTCTGGTTATTAAATCAGTAACTGTAAACCTCGTGGAGCTGCAGAGATTTACTGTATGTTCCATAAGCAGTCAGGACTGGCTCACTGTGTTGTTATCTGTATGCAAAGCAAGTATGGTCTTGCATAATGTTTACGTCTGCTCGAGCCAGATACGACCGTCCCCTTCTCCCCTGGCTTTTTGATAGTTATTTTTAGACTCTTTTATCCTCTGAGGCAATTGTGCATTTAACAGGCACAACAGACGGGCTGATTTTAAATCTCTGTCTGCTGAAGAATCTAAATTAAGATACTTGGCTGCTGTTGGTTAGAAAGTTGTTTACTGCAGCCAAAAAATGCTTTTGGCTAGAAATGAGAGTCGACTCTTCAGGGTTTACATACCACGGAAATCAAAGTCTGTTACTTAAAAGGACCAGTCGCGGTTCAGCAGGGCCGGATTATGATCTTTAGAGGCCCCGGGGCCGAACTTCATCGTTGAGACCCCTGTCACCCTCTGCCTGATTTTATCTGATTTTGATTGGAAGCTCCAACTTCTATAACTTGAGAGCCAAACTTCTGAAAGACAGAAATAAATAATGCAACTTACGAGAGAGGGACTGGAAAAACAAAAATTCAGGTTGTTTCAGCAGAGACAGAGATACTCTCAGATTCAGACACACAGCAATGGATCCTGGGTAAACTAGTGCTCAATATTACTGAATAGAGACATCACGAGAACCAATGGTTAAACTACTGCTTGCACAGTGACTATATGGAGGTTTGTGTGAGTGCATGCACTCGTGCACTTGTGCATGTGTTTTAGCACACTGTGTGCGCAGCAGCCTCTGTTGTTGGTGTTTTTTTCCCACAAATGTAAATCCAATATTCCCTCTCTTTTTGGTGGTCTCCCCTAACGGCCTTTGTGCACATGCTACTGTCAAAATGTCGATGTTGCTTTAAAAGCGTCACTGCAGCAGTCCCCACAGCTTGGACTGGTTGTACTGCTAACTAACTGAAATTAAATATATTTACATATTCATAGTTTCTGG